GAGGTAGGAAGAGAACTTAGAGGGAACCTTGACTTAGAAACCAAGAAGGAGGCCTGGCCAACAGCATCAAAGTTCTCAGAAATAATGAAGGTAGAAAACAGACCTTTCTTGGGTTTGGCAATTAGCTGGCCACTGACAAGCCCCATTTTGGCATACAAATAAGGATGGAGGGAGTGGCAGAGGGGATGGAGAATGGAGTGGAAGTGAGGAAGGAGTACAGATAAAGAAGGTTGACCGGCTTTGCAGACGCTGCCACCTTGAGCCTTTTCCCTTCAGCCATGGTCAACCCCACCGTGTACTTCGACATCGCCATCGACGGCGAGTCCTTGGGCCATGTCTCCTTTGAGCTGTTTGCAGACAAAGTTCCAAAGACAGTAGAAAACTTTCGTTATCTGAGCACTGGAGAGAAAGGATTTGGTTATAAGGGTTCCTGCTTTCACAGAATTATTCCAGGGTTTATGTGCCAGGGTGGTGACTTTACACTCCATAATGGCACTGGCGGCAAGTCCATCTATGGGGAGAAATTTGATGATGAGAACTTCATCTTGAAGCATACAGGTCCCAGCATCTTGTCCATGGCAAATGCTGGACCCAACACAAACGGTTCGCAGTTTTTCATCTGCACTACTAAGACTGAGTGGTTGGATGGCAAGCATGTGGTTTTTGGCAAGAGGGCATGAATGTTGTACAAGCCATGGAGGGCTTTGGGTCCAAGAATGGCAAGACCAGCAAGAAGATCACCATTGCTGACTGTGGACAACTCTAATAAGTTTGACTTATTTTATCTTAAAAAAAAAAAAAAAAAAAAAAAAAGGTTGACCATCCGAGGGAATGAGAGGTTAGGAGTAGCTTGAGGAGATACAGCAGAGAGTTGTTTTGTTTGTTTGTTTTTTAGGATGAGGAATATTTGAGTGTGCTTATAAATCAGAGTAGAGAAGGAAGGCGACCTGGAAGAAACAGGGCAAAGGCAAGTCACTGACTGGAAACGAATCCGGTGTCTGGGAGGAGGCGTTTGGGGGTAAGAGTAGTGTTAGGCATGGAAACGAGTCCGGTGTCTGGGAGGAGGCGTTTGGGGGTAAGAGTAGTGTTAGGCAAGTGTAGAGGTGGCAGGTGGCAGGTAGCTGCAGGTTTTCCTTGCAGAACTAAGGGACAGTGAGAGTAAGTGACTGCTTCAGGTCACAGAACCTATAAGTAAACCCTGAGCCTCTGCCTCTGGTATTCCCAGACCTCTTCTCCATAATGTTACACACCATATTTCCTTGGAAGGGTTCAGGGGCTCTGAGGGCTGCTGCATCATGCCGTACCTGGGGGGATATCTAGCTCTGCTCTTCTTGGTGCTGTGGGTCCCTTCTGAGTACTTGCTGTATGTGAGGCTGTGAGCATGAGGTGTGGTTCCTGCCTCCACTGGGCCTTTTTTCTTCATCCTGTGCTCCTAGTTCTGCCCTCTGGCGAGTTCTGTGACAGAGCTCACCTTGGTTCTTGGCAGAGCGCCAAGGGAGCCCATAGTCTTCCTCCCCCGGGGTCAGCTTTGCCTAGCAGGTTGGGTGAGCTGGTTTCCTAGGCAAAGTGTGGCACACCTTGGGCATAGTAGATCAGATGCTGGCGTTCCTACCCAGGTATCCTTCTGTGACTTTTCTCCTGCTCTTTTGTACTCAGGAGGTTGGTCAGCAGTGTGGGCTAGCTTCTGGGAGAAGGTTCCAATTGGCCTGAGGCAACAGACAGCCAAGAAGCCCTGGAGTACCTGGGACCTCTGAGCAATCCTCTTGGCTGGGGCCCCATGAGGGGAGGGGTGGGCTCATTAAAAGCCTGATGTGGTATGTTGGAGCAAGCCCTAAGACTAGCTGATCCGTTTAGCACAACACCGGCAGTTTTGGAATAAAGGCAAGACAATGCAGAACTTTACTGGGGAAGAGGTCAAAGAAGGGCTAATTGTCTTGCAGCTGTGGCCTGGTTAGTGCTGCTCAACTCTACTACCAGTGGTGTTTTACCAAGAGACTGGGCCTGGAGGGTGGCTGAGTGTCAGTCTTTCACTTACTGTGAAACATGCTATGTGTTTTCCACCTTGGGGTGAGCTTGTTGGCTTGTTTTGCTATTTACTACTAATGCCTGGGCCCCACCCCTGACCAATTAAATAAAGATTTTAGCCTGTGGGGCCTAGACATATGTACATTTAAAAACTCCTCAGGTCTTTGCATTGTGCAGCCCATGTTGTGACCTACTGACATTAAGAGAGATGACATGAACCTCGTCACAAAATGAAGACCGAGAGAGAGAAAGCTAGGAGGGTTGGGGAGGGTGCAGTCCCTAAAACTTGGGAGCTGGAAGGGTCTTGTTCAGACCCTTGGAGCTTGGAGTGTGGCCCCAGCCAACCAGCAGGACCTCATGAAGGAGCTGGTTAGAATGCAGATTCCGGGCCGTACCCACACTTGCTGAGTCAGAGAGAGCGCACCAGTTTGAGAAGTCTGCTTTCAGGTCCTTCACAGATTCTCCTGGCCCGTGGTTTTCAACCTTGGCTGCACTTTGTAATCACCTGGGTGCTTAAACAAATGCCAGTGCTGGGCTAGGTGAATTAACTCAGAATTTCTAAGTGTGAGATCCAGATACTATTACAAAAAAAAAATTTTTTTTTAAATATTCCGGTGATTCTCCCCTTGAGCCAAGAGCATCAGGCTTGACCAGTGCATCTCAAACTTGAGTGTACATAGAAGCTACCAGGGGATGGTGTTCAATTGCAGATTCTGATTTTATGGGTCTGGAGGGGGCTAGAGATTCTGTATTTCTAATAAGGGCCCCTGTGATGCCTGTGCTGCTGATCGGATATATTTTGAGCAGCAGAGACCTATTAGATTGACTTTCCAGTTTCACAGCTGAGGAAATTGAGGGTCAGAGAGGGAGGTGCCATCATCCGTGGTAACCCAAGATGATATACATGCAGTACTTTCTGATACACTTTCCTGCCAGGCTGCATGCCAGATGCTGGGGCTAGAGCTGGGAACAGGATAGACCCTATTACAAACCTTGCAGAGCTTAGATTCCAGTGGGGGAGACAGACAGACAACAAACAAACAAGTAACCAAGCTAATTACAGATGGGAAAAGTACTATGAAGGAGATGAGGAGGACCATGTGGCAGGGAATGACTTAGAGGTTGCTGTGGGGGAGAGGGGTAGAGAAGGCATGTCCCTTTTATAAATGCTGTTGGCAGGGCACGGTGGTTCATACTCATAATCCCAACACTTTGGAAGGCCGAAGCAGGAGGACACCTTGAGTATGAGAGTTAGAAACCAGCCTGGGCAGCATAGTGATATCCCCATCTCTACAAAAAAATTTTAAAATTAGCTGGACATGGTGGCATGTGCCTACAGTCCCAGCTATTTGGGGACTGAGGCGGGAGGATCGCCTGAACCCAGGAATTTGAGACTGCTGTGAGCTGTGATCATACCACTGCATTCCAGCCTGGGTGACAAGAGTATAACCCAGACTCAAAAAATAAAAATAAAAAAAGAAGCCCTGTCAGAAGACTTACTAGACTGAGGACTTCTAATGGCAAATTTATAGCTTTTCTTTACCAGACAGAGCCATGGTCCATCCCCTCTGGGGTTTGGGGATGGTGTACTGACCTTATTTGGGGCGTCTGACCCTGGTTCCTAACTGACTGTCTCCCTTGACCCAAGACTGTGCTTTTTCAGTGTTTGTGGACTCAGAGTGGAGCCTGGGGAGTGACTCCATTGAGGGAGTGGAGCATTGACTCCATAATAAAACAGTGCTCAGTATCGTTGAACGTTCAGGATCATTGTGTAATACAGACTCCGCCTCCTCCAGATGCTGTCCCCTGCCCCTGTGAAATAATGGAAGGGTTCTCATTTATCCCTGAGAGAGCACAAGCACGAATGCTTCTCTCCCTTTCCGGATCCAGCAGAACAGTTACCTGGGCTGCTTGTGGAAACTGCCTGTCTCAGGCCACACTATGTCAGGCACACTTGTGGAAACTGTGTCTCAGGCCACACTGGCTCACCCAGGTGGACTCCAGGGAAGAGCCCCGGAATGTGTTTTTAGGATATGGCCCAGGTGATTCTTCTGATCCAGATCATCAAGGAAACAGCAAAGATGGAAGACATTGGCACTTGTTATCTCGTGCCTCTTTATATGGCTGTGGAAGCTGCAGAAATTTCTTCTGCAGTGACTCTGTGGTGTGACTGAGCAGATTATTAGGGAACCTTTGCTATGTGACACTGCAGCCCACCACCTTTTCCACTGCACAGTCCCTACCTTGCTGGTCTTTGCCCTTACTGAAAGCGTCTCCTGACTCCTCTTTGACCAGGCAGATCCTCCAGCTCCCTGTCCTCCCCATTCAAACACCCTTCTTTCACTGAGCCTACTCCGCAGCTCGGGTGGTGAGACTTGGGCACTGTTTGCATTTGGCCAGGGTCCAGAAGGACTGAAGAAGGTCTTATGACAAGTTCTTACTCCTAGTCTCTGGCCTGAGCAGGTCTGTTTGGCTGGAGTTGGGGGAGATTGATCATGGAGAGGTGGGCAGTGGCTAGACCAAGGGATACCTTGGATGGTAGAGGATGGGTCAACTTCAGTTGGGTAAAATATGAATCGAGACCTTGTACAGTAAGTTTAACTTTTGTGTTAACAGTGGGTAGAGGTAGCCATCTGCTTCCTGAAACTGGCCCTCCCTTGACAAAATGTGGAAGAGGACAGTGAGAAGCAGCATACCAGGGAGGCTGGACTAACCCAGTCTGCCTGGGGACCTAATCTGTGAGGGGTGGGACTTTGGTTTCTCTTTCTGTGGCAGGACCCACCTGGATCTCTGATACTCCCTTTGAAGGGTCAGGAGAGTATCTAGGGTGAGAAAGGTCATTCTTGGGATGGCCGCCCCAGGGCGGCTTTGTGCTTTCTGAAGGAGGGGAGGAGCAGACTGGGTGTGTCCTGCCCCAATGTCTAGGCAGGAGTGTTTGTGGAGCCAACCAGACACCTGTAACTCCTGCCTCCTAGGTGGCCGGAGGCAGCCAGGATGCCAGCTCTCCCCAGGAACCCTGCTGCCTGCTGAGAAACATGATCAGCAAGTCCCGTGAGTGTTGTCCGAGAACGTCCCCATCCTGAAGGATGGGCCTTGAGAAGCCTTCTTCAACAGCATCCTGGGACCCACTGGGGGCTGTGGAGGGACAAACAGGGAGCCAGGGCCCCCTCTCTTCACCTTGAAGGACAGCAGGCATACTCAGGTCCAAGCCCTGAGCCAGTGCCAGGAGAGGACCAGGGACTGGGTCTGCTTGAGTTGGGGACTGGAGGGGCTCAGAATGGACAGGTGAGAAGGTGGACTGGGGCTGTACCTGCCTGTTTCTGCCTCTAGCTCCTCTGTGCATGTGCCCTGCAGGCTGGAAGCTCCTGGCCATGTTGGCTCTGGTCCTGGTCGTCATGGTGTGGTATTCCATCTCCCGAGAAGACAGGTACATTGAACTGTGAGTCCAACTTCCAAGTCCTTGCATTGGGTCTTCTTGAGGACAGGCTTAAGGATAGAGAGTCATGGGGGCATGGGATCTAGCGGGGCAGGAGGGTTCAAAGAGCCCGGGCATGGCCACCCCCCTTCAACTACTAGTGCGGAACCCTTCCATGAGTGTGCATAGGAGTAGGGTCTGGGACAACTCCCCTGGGCCCTCGACCAGGGAGTGCAGAGGCAGGCAGAGCAGGATCCTCAATGATTTGGGTTTGAAGTAGAACTTGGGTTGAAATGATTCTACCCTGAAAGTCCCTCTCTAATGCCTTGGGACCTTTGAGCCATGGGAGAAGGTTGAGGCTGCCTGGAACACTGGCCTCTGGGCCTTAGTCTGACCTGGGCTCCCGCCTCCTCTCCTTTTCTGTGTCCAGTTTTTATTTTCCCATCCCAGAGAAGAAGGAGCCATGCCTCCAGGGTGAGGCAGAGAGGAAGGTCTCCAAGATTTTTGGCAAGTATGTGGGGACGGCGGGGCGGGGTGGTGCACGACAGGGTGTGGAGTGAGCTGGGCTGGAGGGCTTCGCAGAGTGGGGACTAGATGGGGGAGGAGCCATGTTGGTGGACACAGGTTAAGCGAAGCCAGGGAGGGAAGGGAAGTCCATGTAATATTAGTCAGGGGCCTGATCCTGTTTCTGGCATCAAGATTAATTCCTTTTTCATTCCTACCCTCCTGCGTTCACCTCTGTGCAGCTACTCCCGAGATCAGCCCATCTTCCTACGGCTTAAGGATTTTTTCTGGGTCAAGAAACCATCTGCCTATGAGCTGCCCTATGGGACCAAGGGGAGTGGTAAGTTCCCACCTGGTTCTGTGGCAACAATGGGCTCACCTTGGCCACAGTACTTCCTATTCTTTGCGGTCTATGGCTCCAGTATCCAACTTTTTTTTTTTTTTGAGTTGGAGTCTCACACTGTGGCCCAGGCTGGAGTGCAGTGGTGTGGTCACAGCTCACCACAGCCTTGACCTCCTGGTTCAGGTGATCCTCCCACCTCAACCTTCTGAGTAGTTGGGACTACAGGCAGGCGCCACCCAACCCAGCTAATTTTTAAAAATTTTTGTAGGGATGAGGTCTCACTATGTTGCCTAGGCTGGTCTTAAACTCTTGACCTCAAGCGATCCTCCCATTTTGGCCTCCCAAAATATTGGAATTACAGGTGTGAGCCACCACCCCTGGCCTTCCCCGTGCCCAAGTTCTGAGCCAGGCTCAGGTACTAGGGTCAGGGGAGAAAGAAGATAGCCAGGGTCCTGATGAGTGGTAAAGGGTGGGCAGGTAGCTTTCAGGATGCTAGCTGTCATATCAGTCCCTCCATTTGGTTTTTTCTGTAGAAGACCTGCTCCTCAGAGTACTAGCCATCACCAGCTACTCTATACCTGGGAACATCCAGAGGTAAGGAGACAGTCCTCCCACTCTAGTCTGGGTGCCTTCTCTTTCCTGCCCGGTGTGAAATAGTGATGAAATAGTCATGGCCTAGCACCCTCCCAGCCAATCCCCATGGCATACGAGCCTCGGCATCCAGGGCAGACCAGGCTGCAGCGGCTGAGGGTATTGCAACAGCAGGACTGGGGTTTCTTATTGGTACACCCCATGCACTCTCCCTCCTCTCCCATGCCCTGTTTTATGCTCGGCCCAGTTTCCTCTTCCTTTAAAGCCCAACCATAAGCAGGGCCACTGGGGATGCCTGCTCCTCAGGAACCAGGGGATGAGGGGGGCCCTGGGCAGATCCAGGGCAGTGAGAGTTAGGTGGGGCAGGGGTTACTTCTGGGCTTGATCACATCTCTTCCTACGGCAGTCTCAAGTGCCGCCGCTGTGTGGTGGTGGGGAACGGACACCGGCTGCGGAATAGCTCGCTGGGAGATGCCATCAACAAATACGATGTGGTCATCAGGTGTGTATGATCATCTCTTCTTACTTGTGTTGGGGAACTGGACGTCCCAAATAGGGAACTGTAGACAGGCCCAGGGGTCTCTAGCGATGGACATCTTCCTTCTCGCTCCCAGATTGAACAACGCCCCAGTAGCTGGCTATGAGGGTGATGTGGGCTCCAAGACCACCATGCGTCTCTTCTACCCTGAATCTGCCCATTTCGACCCCAAAGTGGAAAACAACCCGGACACACTTCTCGTCCTTGTAGCTTTCAAGGCGATGGACTTCCACTGGATTGAGACCATCCTGAGTGATAAGAAGCGGGTAAGTGGGGTGGGAGATAGGTGGGGGGCCAAGTCAGGATCTCACGCTCCCTGATGTCTGCCTTGCAGTCCTGGAGAGTCAGTGAGGGGACAGTGTGAACCAGGCTCCCAGCTGTCAGTGCCTTAGGCATACCACCCAGGGCAATTTGCTGCAGGGCTTCTAGTAAGCCGCCCCAGCTGCTGGGTATAAAAGCCTGCAGGAGTCAGGTGGTGGCAGCCAAAGGCACCCCACACTCCAGGGCTGTCTGGGATAGGAAAGCTGCCAGAGTGTGTCTGCCTGTGAGAAACCTGGGAAAGGAGGAACCTTCTGGCAGTCATCTCCAGGCGGGGGGCCGGTTAGAACAATGAGGTCTGTGCCCTAACAGATGATCCCCAGAAAGAGTTCACTATGTCATTTTGCCATACCATCGAATGCTGACCTGTCCAGTCTGGAATTTTTGCCAAAAGACAGCCTAAAACTTGAGCCCCTTCTACTTGTTTGGATATCCTTGGAAGCGGGCTGTGGTTGGACCTCATATTCTACACATTTTGTCACCTGGTCTTCCTGAGGGGGTGTCCTTCCTCCTCTCTTTCCCTGATCCTCTCCTCTGGTCTCCTATCTCTAGTGTAGTCCCTACTTCCTTTCCTCTCTTCCTGTGCTCTTGAAGGCATCTCTCATCACTTGGACCCCATCCCTTGGCTGAGGACCTCTGGATTCGCCTTGAGACACAGGTCTTCACCCACTCTCTTCTGACCCCATCCTCCTAGGTGCGAAAGGGTTTTTGGAAGCAGCCTCCTCTCATCTGGGATGTCAACCCAAAACAGGTTCGGATTCTCAACCCCTTCTTCATGGAGATTGCAGCTGACAAACTGCTGAGCCTGCCAATGCAACAGCCACGCAAGATTAAACAGGTGATGGGTCAATGATGGGGAAGCCAGGCTGAGGGTTGGGTCCTGAGTGGGAAGTAGGGGGCACATTCCTATATGCTTAGAAAGCCAGGGAAAGGCCCTATGAGAGGAAAGATAGCAGCTTGCATTTCACTGCCAGGAACACACCTGTCATCAAAGTTGCCATGGCAGGGGTGAGTGTACTCTTTGGAGAATGTGAGGTGTCTTCAAAGTGGAGAGAGAGGGAAGGGTCTATATTGGGTTTGGGGACTGGAGTGAGAGGATGGTTTGACAGGCACAGATCAAAACTTGTAACCTGGGGACTGGCTAGAGCAGTCAGTGGGGCTATTTGTGGAACAGCTTGAGCCGATGCAGAGTTACTATGGATACTTAATCTGTGGTCTTATCTTGGAACATATTGGTCTGAATGAGTTAAAGGAGTTAGAACTTCAACAGTTTGTCTTGTGTTTCATGTTTTGTTCAAGTGTGTTGATTTTGGCAGTCTTGATGCAATTTTGCAAGTTATGGTTTTGATATCAGTGCCCTGGTGGTCTTCAGCTGGTGGGCTTTCACCCACTTTCTAGCTTTCCAAGTAATTCCACACATCTTGGAACCCTGGGGACTGTGTGGGATAGTGAAGAGGCAAACCAGCAGGCATAGATTGGGTTCTTGGTGGTACCTGTGCTTGCTGTGTGGAGCTTGCCAGATCAACCACTTAGAGCCTGAATTTTCTTGTCTGTATGGTGGGGATACTACCCACATTGACCTTTTAAGGCCATTGTAGGATTGAAAAAATAATTACCTAAAAATACTATTATGGAGATTGGTATGTAGTGCCTACTGTATAAATATTTACCAAATTTTGAATAGATAATTTTATTCTTTTTTTTTTTTTTTTTTTGAGTTGGAGTCTCACTCTGTCACCCAGGCTGGAGTGCAGTGGCATACTCATGGCCACCCCAGCGTCAATCCACTGGGCTCTGGCAACCCTTCCGCCTCAGCCTTCCAAGTAGCTGGAACTACAGGCATGTGCTACCACGCCTGGCTAATTTTTGATTTATTATAGAGATGAAGTCTCGTCAAGTTGCCTGGGCTGATCTCGAACACGGGGGCTCAAGCAATCCACTCGCCTCGGTCTCCCAAAGTGCTGAGATTACAGGCTGAATCACCGAGCCCAGCCCTTTTTTGTTGTTTTTTGAGTTGGAGTCTTACTCTGTTGCCCAAGCTGGAGTGCAGTAACATAGCAATGTACTGCAGCCTTGACCTGCTGAGCTCAGGCAATCCTTCTGCCTCAGCCTTCTGAGTAGCTAGGACTACAGGTGCACACCACCGCACCCAGCTAGTTTTTTTAAATTTATTATAGAAATGAGGTCTCACCAAGTTGCCCAGGCTGGTCTTGAACCCCTGGGCTCAGGCAATCCTCTCGCCTCTGCCTCCCAGAGTGCTGGGATTACAGGTATGAGCCACCATACCTGGCTGGTAGTGGTGGGATTTCAGGTGTGAGTCACCGTGCCTGGTTTATAACTTTATTATTTGCTGAATATCTAGTGCTATTCACATTCTGTGTTGAATGGCTGCTTTTGTGACTGCTCAGTGCCAAGCCCCATGTCTGCATGCTTGGTGAGTAAGACGTGCTCCCTGCCCTAAGGAAACTTAGTCTGGCAGAATAAACATGCAGGTGGCACTGTAGAGTGATACAGTACCACAGTAGAGAGGTGTTCCACATGCTGTGGGGATCTCAGGAGGGGCAGACCTCTACTGAGGGCTGAATGGGAGGCACCCCAGAGGAGGTGGTCCTGGAGCCGGGTCTGAAAGGATTATGCAGCTCATCCGGCAGAGAACTGGGGAAGGGCATTCTGTTTGCCAAGAGCAGACAGCTGCTGTGGCCCTGAGGTGTTCTAGTGCAAGCGGAGTTGAAGGGCATGACAGAGCGGTTTGATGCCACAGATAGGGTGATAGATGGAGAGGGAGGTAAGAGAAGGTAAGGACCTGAACCCAGCTCCCCGCAGAGGGAAGGGTAAAGGAAGGGATAGACTTGACAGTGTATTAGTTTTCTCTTGCTGCCTCGTTAATTACCACAGGCTTAGTGGTCTAAAACAATGCCCACGGATAGGCTTATAGTTGTGCAGGTCAGAAGTTCAGCGTGGTGTGACTGGGTTCTCTGTTCAGGGTATCATAAGTTTATAAACCCAGTTTATCAGCCAGTCTGAGGTCTCATCTGGAAGTCTGGGGAGAAAATTTGCTTTCAGACTCATTCTTTTTTTTTTTGAGTCTTAACTCTGTCGCCCAGGCTGGAGTGTAATGGCATGCTCACAGCAACCACAGCCAGGTTCAGGTGATCCTTCCACTTCAGCCTTCCAAGTAGCTAGAACTACATGCATGCACCATCATGCCCAGCTAATTTTTTAATTTATTGTAGAGATGAGGTCTTGCCATGTTGCCCAGTCTGGTCTTGAACCCATAGGCTCAGGCAGTCCTCTCACCTCTGCCTCTCACAGTGCTCGGATTACAGGTGTGAGCCACAGCGCCTGGCCAGACTCATTCTTGCAGAAATAATTTGGTTCCTCTGGTCATAGGGCTAAGGTCTCCAGCTCCTTGCTGGCCATCAGCCAGGGATAGGGCTACCCTCAGCTCTTGAAGGCTGGCTACAGTTCTTGCCGTATGGCCCCTCTGTCTTCAAGCCAGAGATGGCATGATAAATCCTTCTTGTGCTTCAAATCTGACTTCCTCTGTCTCTGATCTCAACACCCAGATTTAAAGAGTCAGGTAATTGGGTCAAGCACAGCAGGATACTCTCTCCTCTCTTATAGTCAGCTGTGCCATATAAAGTAGCAACGTAATAGATCTCATCATATTCACAGGTTCCACACACAAGCAGGGGGATTAGATGAGGGCCAGGGTCACTGGGGTTCTCTTACAATTCTACCTGCTACAACATATATTTTACAGATGGCATTGAGAGATTCCTGACCAATTCTAGGTTTCCAACTTGGACAACTCGGGGTATGGTAATATATTTACTGATGTAGAGAGCATAAGGAGGAGGAGGAGTTTGGTGTTTCAAGATCCCATATCCAGGAAGAGCTGGCTAGACAGCCATGGAAATGTGGCCCAGCAAGGCCCAAACTGGATGAGTTAATACACTGGTGGTGAAAGCAACAAGGGGAAAAAGAAGGCCCAGGCAGGGCACGGAAGGCAAGAAGACAAGACAGCTGGGAAAGGGACACTGGGAGAAAGCCAGCACTGAGCAGCCTCACAGGGTCCAGGAAGTGGCTCCCAGATGGGAGTGGGTGGCTGATGTGGGCTGCAAAGCAGGGTGCTGGAGCCGAGGAAGGCCAGACTTGGGAAGTAAGTGGATCAGGTTTCCTGTCCCCGTGGATGAATTCGGAATGGAGGAAATGAGATCCTCAGAGCAGCCCAGAAGGTGGGTAGGAAAGGTACTGCGGTCCCACATGAAAGAAGGGGAGAGCTCACGCCCAAAAGGGGTCACACAGCTAGTGAGTTTCAGAGCCACCAAGTCTTCTGAATGAGGTGAGGTCCTCCAAGGAAGAGGGCAGAACCCTTCCCCTCCTTTGAGTGAGTTGCTTAATATTTTTATAAGCCTCAGTTTTCTCATCTGTAAGATGGGGCTAATAATAGTACCTACTTCCAAGTGTTTTTATGAGGACAGGATGAGATAATGTATCATACTAGGTAAAATACTTAATGTAGTGTCTGGCAGCTCTATGGTAATTACTCAAAAAGTACTCTGTATTATTATGATGGTTGTCATTATTGTCATTCTGATTGCCATCGTCATCCCTAGAGTCCCAGACCTCTCCCAGATATGTGGAGCTGTACTATCCAGTATGGCGACCACTAGCCACATATGGCTATTTATTTATTTATATTTATTAATTTTTAGAGACAAGGTCTTGTTATGTTGCCCAGACCACAGTGTAGGGGCTATTCACAGGTGCAGTCCTAGTGTTCTACAGCTCAGAACTTCTGAGCCAAAGTGATCCTCCTACCTCAGCCTCCTGAGTCATTGGGACTACATACAGGGGTGCACCACTGCAGTCGGCACATGCGGCTAGTTAAATGTAAAATTTAATTAATTAAAACTTTTTTTTTTTGAGTTGGGGTCTCATTCTGTTGCCCAGGCTGGAGTACAGTGTCATGATCACAAAGATCACAACGATCATGGCTCACAGCAGCTTCGACTCTGTGGTCCCCTGGGCTCAGGTGGTCCTTTTATTTCAACATCCCGAGTAGCTGGGACTACAGGCACATGCCACCACACCTGGCTAGTTTTTTGATTTCTTGGTAGAGATGAGGTTTTGCTGTGTTGTCCAGGCTGGTCTGGAACTCTTGGGTTCAAGCAATCCTCTAACCTCAGCCTCTCAAAGTGTTGGGATTACAGAGGTAAGCCACCACATCCAGCCTTAAAACTTAATAAAATAAAACATTCAGTTCCTCAGCTGCACTGGCCCCTTTCATATGCTGGTTAGGCTTGTGGCTGTCCTATTGGACAGGGGAGATGGAGAGCGTTTTCGTGACTGTGGAAAGTTCCACTGCAGAGGGCCGGTTGAGAAGCTGGTGGGAGGAGCAGGGCTCCCTCTAATGCCTGCTACCCTTGGTCCCTCAGAAGCCTACCACAGGCCTCTTGGCCATCACGCTGGCCCTCCACCTCTGCGACTTGGTGCACATTGCTGGCTTTGGCTACCCAGATGCCTACAACAAGAAGCAGACCATTCACTACTATGAGCAGATCACGCTTAAGTCCATGGCGGTAAGTGCCTGCCCTCGTGAGCTCGGTGGAGTGGGTTGCCTGGGGACCACACAGTTGGAGGGATACTGGGTGAGTGAGAACGGGGCCAGGTGCCCAGAGGTGGCTCCTGGGAGGTCATTCAGAGAGTCAGAACTAGAACTGGGGCATCTGGACTCCCCAGCCAGCACCCTCCGTATTTGCCCACATGGGTCACATCTTCTAAGAGCCAGCACGGGGAAGGGAGCTCCCAAGAAGTGTGGGGCTGTGGCAAGGGTCAGGAAGGCTTTCCTGGGGACAGAGAGGTCTCCAAGAATCCCTTCATTTACTTCCTTGGCTGTCTCCACAGGGGTCAGGCCACAATGTCTCCCAAGAGGCCCTAGCCATTAAGCGGATGCTGGAGATCGGAGCTGTCAAGAACCTCACGACCTTCTGACTTGGGCAAGAGCTGTAGCCCGGTGGTTGCCCACTCCACTGCCTGGGTGACCCCCATCTGTGGCTGTGGGGGTGCCTGGTGCCAGTATGACTCACTCGGACTCACCTATCCCTGTCTGGGGAGGGAGTCCTGGAACTGGCCAGGTCTGAGATGAGGCCATGCCCCTGGCTGCTCTGTGGAGCCCAGATCTAGTCAGGGTGGAAGCACTTGGGGCTGCAGGAGCCCAGCCAAGGCAGGGGGCTTGTTGCTGGGGCACCCCCTCTCTGCTAGCACCAAGAGATTATTTAATGGGCTATTTAATTAAGGGGTAGGAGGGTGCTGTGGGCTGGTCCTGTGGCATCCAGGAAAGAGGCCAGTATAGTGTTCTGCCCACTTTTTATAAAAACTTACATGTGATGGGCCCACCAAGGCCTAGACCCAGAACCAGCCTCCCAGGAGGGCGGGGGTGTCAGGAATGGGTGGGTGCCCTCCAGAGAGGGGGGTGCTACCTCCCAGCAGGCATGGGAAGAGCACCGGATAGGGGTTCCACCAAGAGGGGACCTCATCTAGAAAAGAGGTTATAAACCTATCATTAAACTATTTTTCCAAAAATGGAAGGAGTTGTGATGCCCTGTGTCTTTTCAGGTTGGGAAGGGCACAGGTGGGGTGTGGCAGTGGGTAGGATGTTAGACCAGAGCAGGACGTGGTCACTCAGGGAAAATAAATTACTTATGGAGTCCAGTGCTTAGTGCCCAGCTGTGCATTATTAACCTGGCATAGCAGGCTGCCCACAGCAGCCCTGTCTGCAGACACCCAGCCTGGCATCCTGCATCCTGGTTGACTGCCCAGAGGATGCCAAATGGAAGGGGCAGAATTCTCTCCCACCTTCCTTCCTCTCTCCCTCACCGTTCTTCAGTTACCAAAATCTCATACTGGGAGGTGTGTGTTTTAAGGACAGGGGTGGGGTCAGGCAAAGTAAGCCAAGTTTCCCTTCTCAGATTAAGTGGGAACCAGAAAATGTAGTTTGTGGAAGGTCCTGCCAACAGTGCAGGCTGCTAGGATTGGAGTGGCCAGGGCCGGAGGGCAGTGTCAAAGGGATTTAGCAAAGCCTGCCAGCCAGTCATCGGGCCAGGGGATGAAATGGTTTCTTTCCTAGGTCTCTAGAATCTTAACAGCCCTGCTGTTTGCCTGTCTTTCCTGCCTTCGTTTTCCATCTTCCCAGGACCTGCTTAGCTGCCAACTGGGATTCCTGCCACCCCCACAGCTGTTCCTTTACATCTGGAGCCAGGAGGGAGAGTTGGAACTCCCCCATGGGTAATGGAACTTGCAGCTGTGTTCCTGGCTTTCTCGGAAAGAGCTTCAGCCTTGAGGTTTTTGAGACAAGCCAGGCTGGGACTGGACAGATAAAGAGGGGCAGCAAGTCGAGAGAAACAGAGGAAGGTGACACAGTTCTCAACAGAGTGTTGGAATGGCCTTGAGAACACCCAGCCTCATCCTACAGGATGGTCCTAAGGACCATCCCAGGGAACAGAATGGCCTTCCCTCTCAGAGGCCTGGCGACTTTGTTAACTGGCCTCCCCCTAGGTGCAAGCGGGATTCTGACAGCAAATAGGGCCCTAGTTTCTGCAGCCCCAAGCCTCCTCCCTGCCACAAGGGCAAGCTTTGTCTGTAGGCTCTATCTGGGGGAGAGACCTTACTGACAACAGGAATTTTGAATCGGGGGTGGGGGGGTGGAGATCTCAGTTCTGCTCATCCCTGATGTTGCCCCAGATGCTTCCCATGTGGGTATGCAAGGGAGTGGCCATTGAAAGTGACTGTCTGCACACATGATGCAGTTGCTTTGGATTGAGGCCACTGCCTGTTGTGGAACGTGCCTAATCTTGAGTGAGAATCCAACATACAGGGATGGGTTAGATGCCTCCAAATTCTATACACACACACACACACACACACACACACACACACACACGGGAGCATTTTACATTGTAGACACGGGAGCATTTTACATTCTTGTTGGGTTATGTTTGTGATACCATATGCAGATAGCCCTTCATGCTCACATGCAGAGAAGACCATGTGTGTGCGTGCAGGGGTCATGTGTCTGTACACTCACACAGGCCATTGTTCGCTTGAGGGGTGAGCATAACTTTCTCCAGCAAGCCCCACATTTGATGCAGACTGAGGCAATACTGGCCAAGGGTTAGAGTGGAGCTTTGATGTGGAGTTGTTGGATGGGGTTCTTGGTGTTCTGGGAAAGAGGCTTTCAGTCTTCAATTAGCCCAACCGATGTGAATGAACTGCCTGCCAGCCTGCCTGGGACTGATTAAATCATGCCCTGAAAATGAAGAGAAAAACAGCAGAGGGAAGTGCTTGAGAACAAGTCAGGAAATCTGGGTTCTTCACCAGGCTCTGCCACTTAATTCTGTATCACCTTGGGCCAGTCATTTCTCTATTGCTGTGCCCCAATTTCAGCATTCCTTGAAACAAGAGAGATGAGTCCAGACAGTGAGGACAACTGATCTCAGAATTATCTGGGGAGTTTTAAGAATGGAGATTCTAAGCCGGGCTTGGTGGTTCAGCCTGTAATCCCGTGCCTTTGGGAGGCTGAGGTGAGTGGATTGCCTGAGCCCGCGCGTTCGAGACCCGCCTGGGCAGTGAGACCTCATCTCTACAATAAATCAAAAAATCAGCCGGGCGTGGTAGCGCATGCCTGTAATTCCGGCTACTCGGAAGGCTGAGGAGGAAGGATTGCCGGAGCCCAGCAGGTCGAGGCTGCGGTGGCCGGGAGCGGCCACTGCACTCCAGTCTGGGTGACAGAGTGAGACTCCAACTAAAAAAAAAGAATGGAGATTCTAGCCGGGCTCGGTGGCTCAGCCTGTAATCCCGCGCCTTGGGAGGCTGAGGTGAGTGGATTGCCTGAGCCTGCGGGTTCGAGACCTGCCTGGGCAACTTGGCGAGACCTCATCTCTACAATAAATCAAAAAATCAGCCGGTCGTGGTAGCGTGCACCTGTAGTTCCAGCTACTTGGAAGGCTGAGGTGGAAGGATCCCCAGAGCCCAGCAGGTCGAGGCTGCGGTGGCCGGGAGCGGCCACTGCACTCCAGTCTGGGCGACAGAGTGAGACTCCAACTCAAAAAAAAAAAAGAATGGAGATTCTGCAGCTGGGTGCGGTGGCTCATGCCAGCACTTTGAGAGGCTGAGGTGAGAGGATTGCCTGACTCCAGAGGCTCAAGACCAGCCTGGGCAACTTGGCGAGACATCTCTACAATAAATCCAAAAATTGGCTGAGTGTAGTGGCACATGCCTGTGGTTCCAGCTACTTGGAAGGCTGAGGTGGAAGGATCGCCTGAGCCCAGCAGGTGGAGGCTGTGGTGGCTCTGAGTGTGCCACTGGGCAACAGAGTGAGACTTTTACTCAAAAATAAAAATAAAAAAGGAGATTCTGGCTGGTGCAGCTCACACCTGTAATCCCAGCACTTTGGGAGGCTAAGGTGAGAGAATTGTTCAAGCCCAGGAGTTCAAGACTAGCCTGGGCAACATAGAAAGACCTCATCTCTACAAAAAGATCAAAAAATTAGCCAGGCGCGGTGGCATGTGCCTGTAGTCTCAGCTACCTGGGAGGCTGAGGAACAAGGATGCCTGAGCCGGGGAGGTGGAGCCGTGATCGTGGCACTGCACTCCAGCCTGAATGACAGAGTGAGAGCCCAACTAAAAAAAAAAAAGGAGCTTCTTGGGTCGTACCCAGGCCTCTCGGATGGAGCCCACGAATCTGGAATTTTAACAAGCACCCAGAAACACTGCTCTGGTAGTCTAGACTCTGGATCATCTCACGGGCCTGTTTCCCCTCTACGGTCTGCGTGTAAAGCCCTTGCTAATTCCGGGTGTCCTTGAGATGTGTTAATTAGGCGCACGCGCAGTTTTCTTCCGCGGGCCGGACTGGGTGGGGTAGAGGAGTTACTGTGCTCGGCTTGCCCCGCCCCCCGTCTGCCGGGGCGGGGCAGCACATGCGCCGTCTGCGCGGGAGCTGGGCTGACCCTCGGGGCTGTGGGAACTGGCGGGGGTTCCCGAAGTGCCGCCCGCGTTCCGGCTAGTTTGGTGGCCTCCGCCCTGTGGCCTCGCTGGACGCTGGCCCCGGCGCCCCGCCTCATTGAAGGCCGGTGCCTCCCTGGCAACCGGCTCAAGGCCTGGTGACGGCTGCGGAGGGAAGCCGGATGGGTTTGGGGGCCCGCGCCCCTCCGTCCGGATTTGCATGCATTGCCAGCAGTTTTCTCCGCTTTGCAAGTGCTTTCCAGAACTCCCGCTGGGCCTCCGTCTTGTGACCTGCTTTGACTTCCTTGCAGAGGCTGGGGTGAAACAGAAGGCGAGGGGGTAAAAGAGATCTGCCCCACCTAATTTAAACTCTGGAAGTCCAGCCCTCTTCCACAAAGGGAGAAATCGGGCCCCAGAAGGGACACCCAGCTCAACTACCTAGCTGGGCAAGACTAGGGTTTAGGTCTTTTATTTAGTGCAGGAACACAGTTAAGTGATATTCTGTATTCACATCGGATGATGTACCTTGATTTGAGACCCTTCAGGTTTTTATTTACACTTTCCAAGAACATAAGTCCATTCCAGTGCTTTCCTCCAGAGACTGTCTAGCCTATGAAAAGTTTAAGCTTGGAAACAGTTTTGTTTGGGAGGCAGTAAGGTGTAGTGTACACCAAATACAGACGGTTGGATCGTGAGTTCTCCCCGCTCTGTCATTTAATTAGCCGAATCAACCTCTGCTTGTCCATCTGGAAAATAATGATTATGCATACCCATCTCACAATGACGTTTTAAGGGCCCGGTGGGAATATGATTGTAAAAACATTTTGTAGACTATAAAGTATGATATCGATATTAATTGAAAAACTGCCTTGCATCATCGAAAATGTCAGGGTATGAAACAGATGAGGTGCATTTGTAGGGCTGAATACTTGCTCAGGTAGTAACTTGGCTGGTTTATACAAAAATATGTTTCACACAAGCAAAGTAGGGGGAGGTAAGACATCAGTAAAATGATTCAACAGTGGGCTTTACACAATCAATGGAGAGAGTTCAAACTGCTTTATAGAAATGATTTTCAAGTTGAAGTCAGACACTTTTAGGGCTTCTTAGAGGAGGAGGTTTCTTGGGAGACATTATCCATCTAAATGGAATGTAGCGTATTATGGTAGGTTCCTAAACAAGGGTTGAGAAGTACAACCTCAGATTTAGTAAGCTCTCCTCCAAACCCTCTGACCTTTTTAGAGTCTTAATTATACCTTCAGAAAACTATTTGTTAGTTTTGAACATTCTCATGTCCTCTACAAGACATGGTTCCAGAAAATCAGATCTTTTTCCAACGTAAACGTTTAGGGAGGTCTGTGTGTGTATCTGTCTGTCTGTAATCAGAACCAATTTTCCTGTTCAATTCTTTGTCAGTGAGTTTACCTGTCTTATTTTTGGGATCTTGTACCCAAGAAATAAGCTGGGAAGCTGAACCTTGATTCTCACTAGATGACAGATTTAGGAGAAACCCAAATGTATTAGAAAGTTCCACTTCTTCACTTAAAGGTTCTACAGAGAGTGGGAAGCAGGTAGTGCAAAGAGGGTTA